GACTTGAAACAAATATATACCCTTAGATACATCTACCATATAGTACTGTTCAGCAACATATATGGCCTCTTCCTCGTCAATTCCCCTTTGTATGACATGTCAATCCAGTATAATGATAAATACCCTGGATCTATCCATTGTTTCGTTTTCAACCCTATTCCAAATCCACGCCGCTAGAAATAGGTCTTCAGCAACCCAAGCTAGCCGTAAGAGGCAACTATGCTTGTCGTAAGGGGCGACTAACGGGATCGGGTGGTCAGGCTCTCTGACTTGGTGGATGCATGTCATTGTATCCCAAGTGCGTGGATCGATGCTGATGATATAGGTCCAGACTCGATTATTTACAGACCGCCGTCATATAGCTGGAATATTGCTGAGTGTGGCGTTAAACAACAAACAAACAGACAGAACTAGAACTCCATTCTCTTAAAGAAAAAGAAATAGCCGTCCAATCAGATTACACTCACGAGCGAGGTAAATCATGCGTTGGGCAGTGATACGAGAGATGGAAACAAAATGAAGCCTTGCCTGCGCAAGCGTCCAGGCAATTTACCGTAATACAATGGAGATATTATTCCCTAGATAATCGAGGATGCTTTTTTCTCGCTATTTGTATTTTCCAATTTTCTTTGCTTATTTAGATACACGTTTCACTCCAAGAGTGACCGGAAATATTTGTCGAATTTGAAAGATACAGAGGTTACCATCTGTAACTCCAGCTTGCGTCCCGAAAAGGATGGACCATGACTCAGCACATGATCAATATGTGCGTGAGCGCGTGCATGTGTAGGCGTGCGAGACATGCCACAACCCGTGTGTGAGTGCACGTGGGGGTAGCACGTGCCGGATCGATACAACGCCGGTGATTACTGTGAGGACACGCGCCGTGATTAGCACGTGCGGCCTGCGTGACACTGAAGTCCGCGACTTGCTTAACGTTGTTGAATGCTTTTGCCTCAATATTCCACTGAATGTGTGCAGATGTATGTGTGATACAATCGTGATACATTACATATTAATACTAAAGGTGTGACTGCACGTGTGATGAGATGGATTTTTGTCATTATTATACACTTGACGCAATAAATCACATTTTCTTTAAATTAAATCTACAGAACATCTCATACCTCATAAAGATTCTTTTTCGCCAATACCAAATAAAAGCAGTCCCAGAAACGCTAGTCCCTCGTGGCGATAACATTTATTACTTGTATTCGTTGCAGTTTAACAATATGTAAATACATGCCTCATTTAATGTGAACAATATGTATAGGTTGCAGTTGACAGCATCGTCGAGTTGCTAGTGTACATGTAAGAGTGAATATTATCCTACCCTATTTTTTTTTTATCCCGGGGATGAAATTCTCTAGTGTCAGGATGATTCTCCCTAGTGAATTTGAACCCATACCAGTGTGTTTAATCCTGTATCCTATACTATACTCTAGAGTAAAACTTCCCCCGGGATAATATTTAGGTAGGACATAATCCTTGCTTACATATATACACCCGTGACGACAGGTCTTCAGCAAACCATGCTTGTAAGAGGCGACTAGCAGGATCGGGTGGTCAGGATCGCTGACTTGATGCATGTCATCGTATCCTAATTGCGTAGGTAGATCTCATGATGCCAATCACTGTATTGTCTGATCCAGACTCGATTATTTACAGACCGCCGTCATACAGCTGGAATATTGCTGAGTGCAGCGTTAAACAACAAACAAACAGACAGAACTAGAACTAGAACGCCATTCTCTTATTATAAATAGTTATCAATCTAATTTTATTTACATTTCAAATAATATTATAAATATGTATCAAATGGTGAAATGATATATAATGCACTGCATGGATGAATTCACAGTAATTGTATACATTTTGTCCTGCTGGATTTGTTGGGTGAATCACGTGGACTTTGAGATTAGATACGGCGTTTAAACATTTTCGGAATATATTAACGTCATCCTACAAGTATAGAATTTCTAGGGATTACTGACATTGTTTAGCTTGTTTATACTGTACATACAGTTGTTTACTATGAGGTAGTGCCGTGTCACATGTGCATGTACACCGTCAGTGAGTCCTGGATACGCATACCTCAAATAAATGGCCATCTGTTAAACTGGTTGTATTCCTGCGGTGCGCAGTGTTATGCAATGCGTGATAGGGCGTTACTCCAGCTATACGACACGACCCGGAGTGCCCACGCCCTGTAGCCCCGCCCCCACCGTTCCCTCCCTCTGGGACAGGTGGTCATGAACAACCCCCTGGAAGGGTCTCAGTTTGCCGGTCGAATAAGCCGCTTCCTTTCCAGTCTGGTTTTGTCACGTGTCAAATATGCGCATATTAAAACTTCTTTGAGCATCGATTTAAATTAACATGTAATGACGTCCGTATCCAAGTCTATTTTGGGGGATGATCGAGAGAGAGAGAGAGAGAGAGAGAGAGAGAGAGAGAGACCATGTTACTCTTGTGTACCGCCGTCACGGCGACGGACACTGTATTTAGAAATAAACGATGAGCGGGAGTTGTTTATCGTACAATAAAACACTGCAGGGAAAATAAACCATCAAGGGTGCAGCCCCGAGTGGTTTATTCACACCGCAGTGTTTTATTGTACGATAATCAACGACCACGATCATTTCTTATATGAGATATCAATATTATGTACAGCCTCTTTAAGGGTGGTGATAAAATGAACAAGCTTTAAAAATATTTACCCGTATTTAAATATTGATGATTCCCTCAATAGAATCCGACCTCGGCATTGTCGGACAAATCCATTTTATGCACAGGTGAGTATTTCCAGCATATTCTCACAATCCTCACGTCGATCACCTGTCTCGCGGTGCCGGAATCAATGCCTACACTGAATATTATCTCCATGCTGGGACTCGGGTGTTTCATAGCCATTGAGCAACACTAGGCATACCTGGGCCCCGTTCCACCAAGCGATCGTAGTACTATGACTGCCACAAGTCTATGTTGAAGTATATATAAGTATGGGAGTTTGATAGTGTAACGGGGGATTTACGATCGTCTTATAGCGCTATACAACTGCCTTGTGAAACGGACCCGGGGATGCCCACTGTGCCCAGTGTTGTGGTGGCCATGTAGAAGAAAGACTAAATCTATATTTTATTAATTATACACGTTTAAAACTGATGTTATTGTGATCGTCGAGTTTGTTACACACACATAGCATCCATCCACATGAACGTGCTATACGCGCCGACAGTGAAATAATACCTATGTTGACTATTTTCTGAAACACCAGAAATATTTGGTTACATTTATATAAAACACCCAAATGCATTATCTTGGAGACTCAAATGATCTAATATCACAATATTAATCAATAAATCCAACTTGCAACCAAGGAGCTCTAAGGATTATGCCCCTAGTTTGGTCGCCTGTCACCTTGGTATCAGCTGGGAGTGCGCTCGATATCCCATACACTGACTTCCGTGACGTCATAGTCGCGTTCACGCTGAGACAACGTGGTTGTGCGAGGTTTAAATAAACCAGCAGTCTTATTTACTGTTTTTAATTTATTTATTTTTTTATCAGTATGTTTAAAGTACTTCTATGTAATTGATTCTACCCGACACAATCTTACAGTGATGAAATAAAACAGAAACTATAATTTATATTGATACAAGAAACCTATGAAAGATTTAAAGTACTTCTATGTAATTGATACTACCCGACACAATCTTACAGTGATGGAATAAAACAGTGACTATAATTTATATTGATACAAGAAACCTATGAAAGAAATATCCAAAAATATTTAAATGTAATATACCCATTGTCAAAATTATTGTCGCCCGTTAGTATATGTGTCGTAGGGGGAGACAATGTCAGCATGATTATATATTTAATTAAAAATAAGAAAGTTTGCATTTCTAATCAAAATTGTATAGAATTTAATCTGTGAAAAATGATCCTGTATTAGTTATTACTGATGGGTGGGCGATGGGTGATAGTTGACTGCCTAGCTTGTTATACGTAGCTAGAGTGAGCCTGAGTGTAATGAATGATTGGATTTTGTCATGAAAATGCAATTTAATACAGCTTAGTGTAGGAAACGGTTACCCGTGCTGTATCGACTTTAAAATAAATGCTTTATAAATGTCACAGTGTTTCAATATACGTCCTGAAAACCAATCTGCCAAATACGGAAATCATGTGCAGTGTTAAAAAAAACAACTTTTTATTTCATTGATAACAGATAACACCTTCCTATACCCTACTTCCATACACAACGAGTAAGCCGATCGCGTTCGCTGTCGTGAAACAAATAATTAATTAGATACAGAACAAAAACACAGGTAAATACGTCAATGATGGATATCACTTTCGCTTAAATAAATAAATAATTGGCATGTGCCGCGTTTCTAAATTGTCTATACCGCCGTCTTCTGTAACATTGGACATACTGGCTGATTTTAGATAACTTTCTGTGGCAGCATGGCGATACAGCGTGAGATTGTATTTATGTACAACGGATCTTAGAACGGTCCACTATCCCATGTGATGGCCATGTGACTATTTGTATTTATAACTTTGTCACAGATAGTTATACTTTCACTCCAGTTTATATAACGGGTCTGTTTCTAATATAGCTACGTTTGGTGTAAAGAAATCGACTTGTACACGTCAGAACGACATTAAAACACAAAATCAAATTCTGGATCAAAGAAATAACACTGCCACATACCTGTGAATAGATATAACGGTAAATAAACTTAACAGCAACTAAAGTCACTGAACGTAAAAAGCGACCAATAACAGAACACGCCTCCTCAGGCCCGGAATGTGTATACCAAAGCACGTGACTGTTTCAAGGTGCCCGCTTCATCTGCGCGATACTCCCATCGCTGTTAAAATAGAGCGGGTCTGGGTAAATTTGCCATAGTTGACTTTGGTGTCGTTTGAGAATACATCCCAGTCTGACCGTTTTCTCTACATGTTCACTGTTTTACATTTCTAACATAATTTACTGTTTCTTGTGGGGTGACTGAAAACGTCACTGAATACATAGGCAACAAAGAGCACTGGGTACGAGAGTTCAGCTGTGATAGCAGACGTGGTTCGGAATCAAGCAGACGTGGCGATAAGATCAGCCTAAATTTGAGTTTGTGAGGGCCTCTCCACACCAAAAGGATATAATATTGAGAACAAGGTATAACGACCGGCTCATGGGTGATTTTGGACTGGACACTATCTCAAACGTAAGAGCTTTATCGCCTGTGGATTTTGACCAGCTTGCAAACAATCAGTCCTTATTCGCATCGGACCCATTCCCTAGTGTTTGTGGTGGTCAAATCATGCAAGATGACACGCTGCTCGAAAAGCCTGCTTCTAAACAACAATCACCCAAACAGCTACCCGTGTCCATTGGCCAAGGAAATTCAACCTCTGAACAAAATGGAGATATAGTTACAAACACAGTAAATGGAGGGTTATCGGAAGAGAAGAAAAATGACATGAGTTTGAATTCAGTAACTCAGCTGTCAATCGGTCTTTCTGAACCTAGTACCACGGTTGTTACATCTCTTTCATCGGCACCTAATTTTTGGTCAACTGCGTCTGCTGATGATACGTTTGTACACGGTTTCCAGTCGTTGAATGGAACAGTTACATTTCAACAATTTCCCCCTGCACCAAATTCGGTGATGAATGCAAGCTTTACTGGACAGCACATGAGTATGAATGTACCCCCTCCTCAGAGACGGGCCATAACAGCCCATCATAATTTTCCACAACGCCAGAGTCCAAATGTTATGTTGAATAATGCGAAAAGTTACCCCAACTGGAGTAACGCACCCCAAACATCTTGGTCTAGTCAACAAAACCCAGCTACGTTGTCACCTTGGGGGAATGTTCAGCCAAATCATCAGCGTAGATCGGTGCCAAATATCAACGCTCTCGCCCCCATGAAGAGGGCTACAAATTTTCCACAAATTCCCCAATCTTCTTTCATTGCTCCGTCCAAATTTCGTCGGAGCACTTCCTTTCCTGGTCAAATACAACAGGCTGCTCTTGGAATGAAACCGCAGTTTGAATACCAAGCATATGATGACCTTCACAGGGACGGAATGAATTCTGTTGTGTTTAATCAGGTGAGGGTTTGTGTCATTCATCAACAAAATTGGAGTATATACCAAATGGATACCCATTCTCAGTTCATTTGTGTACATTATTGGATGTTTTTCGTTGAGTATGTTTCTGTGGTGTTTACATTTACAGTTTTGTGTCAGGTCACCTCAATATGGCCTAGATTTCTAGTCCTGGGGCACCTGTTTCACCATCCTTCCATATGTCCTAGAGTAGCAGTGTTTATGGCGTCTTTTCTGGTCATATATGCATGTGTATTGTTGCAACCAAGTCCACTGAGTATGTTCCATGTATCAACTTTGAATTCCAGGTGATATTGGTGAATGTAACTGCAATTGATGTGGGAAGGAAGCCAGTGTTTACATTCTGACATCAAGTTTGGTTAGCGAGTGTGCGTACAGGGCAGGATAGGCATAGCAGCATTAGCTATCGAATAGCTTTCTGTGGACGTCCTTAATGTAGACATACATGATGAAAAGGTTTGTTTCAGGTTAGAATTAAAACACATTGAATCATTATGTAAGATTGGAAAATATTGCTCCATTTTTCATGTGTGATTCTTTTCGGCATTGTAAAAGAATATAGGCCTAGAACATGGAGTTATTTTCTTAATGTTTATGTTTCCTTTTCACACTTTTATTTAGATTATTTCCAATGATGTTTAACCTATGCATGTGTAGAAAGTGCTAGACACCATTGTCAAATCCAGCTCCCGTGTTCGAAATTAAGCATGAAAGCCTGAATGTTAAACAGTTGACGATTAAGGGGCCTCTAGGTTTAAATGATTTTGGGAGAAAACAACTAGTCCTCCTGGGTGTTTTCTAGTGTCGGACTGATGAAATAGTTGTCGTCTATCCCTGGTAGTCACTGGATAGCTTATAATTAATGTTTTTGTAAGAAATTGTAAAAAAATAGCAAGTGTTATATACAGCACATACAAAATGAATCAACGGAATCAACTATCTCTTTGCATGTTTCCAGTACATTTAAGTTTTAATATACAGCATTAGAAATTGGCACTAGACCTCTAGTCCCCCTTGACAAACTGCCCAATAGTTAAGGTATCATAAGGACCAGTGAAAAATTGACATCTTTAAGGGTTTTGCTGTATGTTATTATAAGGACTTGTGGACTAAAAATGTTTGTTTCTTCCTCTGATATATGGCAGTGGTCAAGCCCAATAGTGGCTAAAGTTACAGACTGCACAATTCAATGTACTTTTAAGTTAAAGAGTCCTCAGTGTTAGGACATTAAAAGAGATCTTTGAGTTTTTTCCCTGTATTATTTGAATCTAGGGACCATCACATTTTTAATCATTTATTGATCAGGGACTTTCAATCTTGGTTTCGAACACAGTGTCCATGTCAAAATCTTGATATTTTGGATATAGGACTCCTTTGATCACTTCAATTAAAATAATATAATATTATCTTTTTTTTTCATCTCATTGTTTGGAGTGAGGTGAGGGGAGTATTTCTCTCCTATGTTCAACAAATTTGACATAGGTTATTTTCTAAAAACAGTATGGTGATGAAATATTATATGGGACTTTATTACTTGCCTGTGAAGAGATCACCCGTTTAATAAACATACAGCTGTATTACACATTGTGTAATACCAAAACGTGTGATTATGTACTCTCGGAACACGTTTCACGAACAAATATTGAAAGCTCTCAACATCCCTTGGCTTATTCAACGACATTGCGTGTGGAGTTGATAGATCACTGAGAGGAGCTCATGCACACTCGATGACCCCAGCAACCTTGTTGCTAGGCTGACGTCACATGGCATTGTTTCGCCAATGGATCTTGCAACAAAATTCCACAAATTACGTCATCGGGAATTGTGACGTTTTTGTAAACTTTGAGGTGCAAGGTCCGTTCCACAAGTCGATCGTATTGTAGCGCAACGCCAGTCGTTAGTCTGTTAAAGTATGTGAGTTGCGATAGTCTTAGCCCTAAGATAATTTTGTGAATTCTAAAGGTGGATCGTTGTATGGTATTAAATTCATACGTTTCAACTTTTGACGTGTTTGAAGTATTATTCTGTTAAACTCAAGTGGACTATGCCGTGGATCGTGTAGGTGTCAGCCTATTCATACTCAACAGTATAATTCTAAAAACGTTATAAATGGCAAGTAATAAATAAAATACTAAACCCCCCACGCGTAAAACCAATTTTATGAAACTCGTGAATAGTTATGGTATCTGACTCGCTTTGGCTCGTCAGATACCACAACTATTCACTCGTTTCATAAAATTGGTATTACACGGGAGCTCGTTTAGTATTCTATATTTACCAGTTTACAGGAATTTGTCCCTAGGGAAACTAGAGTGTAAATTAGGTACAACTGTATTCTCAGGATGTAATATGACACTGTTAAAATTCTTAACAAACGTCAGGGCCCTTAGTTTCGAACAGCTTGGATGCAGAGACATTAATTTTACTTTGCTATTGGTAATATTACAATGCATGATTGTGTGTACATACTAGTTATCAAGAAGAGTTAGCTAATAGTATCAATGTTTTTTAGAAATTTCTTCTAATAAGCAGCAAAAGGACTCAACTTATCATGATAAAAGAGATGCAATTTGTTAAGACTTGATGTTGATGCCAGATTAGTATTACTACATTTCATTTTCAGGAGGACACTATTTGTGCTTACAATATTTTAGTCACCATATTGTACCTGGCGATGTTATATTAATTTGGCAGGGGGGGCTAAAACAATTATTTTGAAATGCACTATATTGTTTTCTCCATCCATTCTTCTCAATTGTGCATACTGGACGCACACTCCTACATCGTGTAAATCCATGCACAGCAGGCTTTGGACGTTGCTCATAATGGCAACCTCTGGTTTCTCTGGACCAGATTCTATTACTTACAGGTGGCGTGTTGTAGTTTGAATATTTCTAAAAAATCCAAGAAATAAACGGTTACTTTTTTGCATCAGGCCATGCTTAAACACCCCTTGATTTGCATGCTTTTAATTTTGAAAACTCCACGGTCATTATCTCATGTTCCCAGTAAGGATTTAAGGGGGTTTTCAGTGAAAGTTAACACAGGCAAAATTCCACATGTTCCTTTTTTTTTTTCTTTTTTTTTTATTATGATTTAGGGGGCACGGGTGGCCCAGTCGTCTAAGGCGCCGTGATTTGCTGTGCAGAGTTGCGTCCCTTGGGTATGCCAGAAACCTATGATTGTGGGTTCGAATCCCGGTTCGCCCCAATTATGTTTCTAGGTTTGTCAGCACCATACCCGTGCTCGTGGGTTTCACTGAAGTGGTAAAAATCTGAGACCTGCATCACTTCGGGCTTTCCTCCCACATTAAGCTCCAACGCCTTGATATAACTGGAATACTGTTAAAAGCGGCGTTAAACCCACCTCACTCACTCCTTTATAATGATTGCATTTGATTGATGAAACTTCACCAATGCTTGGACTTGCGCTTATCTACCTGTTGATGTTTTCTGAGGACAAGTTGAACATTGTTGAAGTAAAGTCCCTCATGCACAACAAACAAATGGGTACATCATTGTTTATCTTGTTTATTAGAATATATCTTTTATTAACTAAACATGTGAAGAATAGAATAGTGTTGGTTATCAACTTCTCTTTTACAATTGTAGAAAGATTTCACAAAGACTCATGGTGCCCCCAGCAACCTAAGCTTGTTGTAAGATTGAGTTAGGGAGCACTTGTTGTAAGAAGTGACATGGTGCATTGGTTGGTCAGACTCGAGAACTTGGTTTATTGAGTGTCATCATACATGGCAGGGTTAAGCTAAACTAAAAAGTGTTACTAGCTCAGATAAAGATAAATACAGCGTTTGAAATTGGCACTAGTCCTGTAGTCCTTGCCAAACTGCCCAATAGTTAAGGTATCACAAGGACTAGTAGAAATTTGCCATTTTTAAGGGTTTTGCTATATGTTATCATTATAAGGACTAGTGGACTAAAACTTTTAGTTTCTACCGCTGAAATAATATCAGACTCATAATATCGTTATCAAGCAAGTGATGAACAATACTAAGCAGCGTTCAAGGCTAGGATGCACATCAAGGAGTTCTTGTTATTCTGAAATAATGTCAAGATGTTCAGATTTAGGATATGTGGAAGGTTCCTTGTTAGTTTTATTGATAAACAAATTTGTCAATAATTCACAATTGACCTACTATCATACATAACCTATACAGAAACAAATGTTAAAGAATTTGAAATATATTCTTTTGTAATGTTTCAAAAAACATGTCGACACAGCAAGTGCAAGAGCTGAAATCATCCTTAAAGTGAACATTGGCATTAATGATACATACACCGGTAAACATTTCAGTAAGCAGCATAGTCTCTCTCTTCAAAGAGATTGAAAAACAGCAACCCTGAACATCAAGGACATCAGGAATCCCCTTGATTTCCAATCACATTAAAATATTTTGCTGCACTTCGATACCTCTCACCATCAAGAGCTGACAAACCCCTAGCAATCCTACTTTGACCACCCCAATCAAAATAAAGGATGATTGGGCTTTTGAGCCAATCAGATGTTAGCTTTCAGGGATAGATATTAACCTAGACATCTACTTGACCAAATAGTGAAAAACATATTGGAACACCCCCAAAATGTTCAAAATTCTACTAACCTTAGGTTTCCTGGCTGGGGCTAGTGCTAACTTCTATCCCTGGCTTAAGTTGCTTTCTAAAGCAATTTGCCTTGATTGTCAAACTAACAGCCTTCAACAATGCTCTGTGTGCAGTTTGTTGCAGGGGAAATGAAAACACAACCAAAAAAGAAATTTCTTGAAAAATATTAACTATCCTCAACTTCAAAGAGCAGTGACAGTTACAAATAACTTTTAAATAATCAAATGGAAATTATCAGACATATTTCAATGGTTGACAACATGCCTGGTTTCTATCTTACGTTGCAAGACTTCTGTCATGATCAAGTATATCAGAATGGCTAAAACCAGATAAAGAGGCTTACAACACCTAAGAGAAAATCGAACAATGAGCTTGTCTGTCACCCAAGATGAATTATTTTTTCATAATCTTAGAAACTTAGCTCAGGTCAAAGAATTTCTCATGTTAAAATATTTCAGAAATGCTCCAAGAAAAGCTACAAACTGCATTTGGGGCACATTTTAGCCATATAATGTTACTCTGGTGCAACATGCAAGTTTTGAACTGAACAAGTCTAGTTCTTATTCATTTGGAGATAACGCAACTGATAACTTGAATAACAATCTCTAAGAACTTTTTTTTGGTAAATTATGCAGATCCTGTTGGCAAAGACAAGGCTATTAACATAACTTGTTGTTCAAGGTGTCAAGATTAAAGTTGTTGTTTCTTCTAACAAAAGTTAATATATTGTTTCGGTATCAAATGATTGAAAGTAAAGGGGTGTCATGGGATCATTTAGGTTCACTCTGATGTAATTCTGGTATTAGGGACCCCTAAATCTCCCATAGTTTTAAACATTTAGGTTATGACACAGACCCCTTGATTTTTATGTTTTTATTTTGCACATTGTAAATCATCTTCACAAAAGGCTCAAAGCCCAAAGATTTAGCAAATTTGTGTGAATCTAACTATTTTGCATTGAAACAATGGCCAACTATAGCTGTGATTTTAGTGGAGACAAATGACAAGAGTACATTTTCGATAGTACATTTTGGATGACAACCAGTCAATGTCCTAGTCTATGAACTTCTATAACATTATCATACCCAACATTGGTACTTAGGGACTCATCATTTATTATTGGGGGGTGGGGCAAGATTGGTCTTAGTACTGTTTAATATTTTCCCCTCCCTTCCCTAGAGGTTTTCCAAGGTTTTAGAGGTTTGCTGCTTTAGCATTTGGATTCTTTGTTTTTTTGTTGTTTAATGCCACACTCCGCAATATTCTAACTCTATGACGGCGGTCTGTTAATAATTGAGTCTGGACCAGATAATCCAGTGATTGACATCATGAGCATAGATCTACACAACTGGAATATGATGACATGCATCAACCATCCGATCCCATTAGTCGCCTCTTAAGACAAGCATGTTCACCTTTTATGGCAAGCATGGGTTGCTGAAGACCTATTCTAACCCGGATCTTCACCAAAATTTGGACTCTTAGCTTAGTAGTGAGCAGGACATAACCCACTTTTTTTAGGCTTCGACCACTTATTATCATTATTTGTAATTAAGAATGAAATCCAAAGGGTTTCTTGTCATAATCTTCATGTTAAGAGTTCAAATTTAGAGGGGCCTTTAGTTTAAGATGCTGTGGCTGCAAGCTTTATTGACCCCATGACCTCAATTAGTTTCACACACTGCTAATGCTTTTGAATATCTGACCAGGTGAGCTTCTGTGATACCATTCTTGGCAGTAGAATTGGAAGAGTGACTTTCTGGTTTTTATGATCCTTTTACCACCTGATCAGACAGACCAAAAAATAGTTTGCTTCTATAACTTAGGGGTGATCAACTTATGCCCATTTACTGTTCTTAACCAAAGTTGTTTTTAGCCCAGATTTTGACCTGGATTGGGCACCAGAATGCAAATAGACAAATTAAGTAAAATGAGCTAAGTTTGAAATGTGTACTAAAATATATGAATGTTACTACACTTATTAAAACTTTATTTTTTGTTGATTAAAGGCTGCAGTTAATCAAAACATTGCTTTAAGGTTTCCCTATGGCATCGATAAAAATACTGGAATCACTTTTGCTTTATACGAATATACCATTTCTTGTGCATGTTGAGAGCAATAATACTATAATTTAATCAATATACCAATTTAGCCACTAATCCAAAGCCCCTGTCTTGTAAACTTTCATTCTCTGTAGCATGCTTGGTAAACTTGCTAACAAAAGTCCACAGATTAGCACTAAATTCTACTGGTCACATGACAAGTTCAGGCTTGTAGAATCAACCATTTTGGTTGATTGCTTTATTTATTTAACATGTATTAATTATTTAAATAGAAAATAAGTATTGTATTGGAAAACATGAGTAAGGCCTTGCAATTTGTTTTGCTTGGTTTATGGATCAGCCGACCTTAGAATTAAAAAAGTTATTAACAAAAGTATACAACTTTGTTTATGTCTATTATGAACATTATTGGAAAAATAATAATGTCCTAGGATCATTCATTGTCTCAATATGATGTCAACAATTCAAGTTATGATCTAAAAGACACCACACCCCTCTTTTTCTTCTCCCTACCTACTGATTGAAATGTATGGACAACCAGTATGTTTAAAGGTAAAAAGTCAGAAATATTCAGAAATATTGTGATTATTGGTTTTCCTGACATATGTCGCCGACATGCATTTGTGTTAGCAGTACCTAAATGAAGCTAGCCTCAGGAACTAGGGATTTGGATGAAAAAGGGTCGGGTTTAAGCTGATCTATTAATAAGTAGCAGCTTGTCTTGCTTGAGGGACAGCTTGTCCTGCTTGAGGGAGCATTTTGGAAATTAATATTTATTTATATCATATAATATTATGTGTTATTATGACATTTTCCAATCGCACATATTTGTTCACCTTGACATCAACAGGCTGAAAGTGAGCTTATGTTATGGGCCATTGTCCCTCTTTCTATCCATCTGTTCTTTTGCACCAAATATCCGAAATTATGGTCAGTCAAACTTAATCTAAATCATAGTAATCACAAGTTCCTCTTGAAAATTTAGCTAATATGTTTGGTTCATCTATCATCATGATCATTAGTTTTTGTTTACATTTTACTTGATAATTAATGATAAGACTAAATGTTTTCAATGAAGTTAAAAGCTGTCATTTTGTGCTGCTTGAAATTATTAGGAATCTATCAAAATGTATTAAATTAAATTTTTGAAATGATTATGAACATAAACATTGTTTTGTATTAAGTAGCATCAAATATTCAAAGTTCAAGCATTTATTGCTACAGTGGCCAATCAAACTTTTATCCTTTTCAGTGCTTTTCAATCTACCAAAAGCTTTTGAGTCTCAATCTCTGGCCCAAACTTGTTCTTGTCGCAGACTGATGCCGTTATTTTTTATATGAGAATGTTATTTTACTTAGATAAGTTATACAAAAATGCTTACTGAAATTTAGCATGTGACAATTTTCTACATTATGAAATTTTTTGAAATCATTATTTATGTTTTGATAGTGCAAACTGAGCCTTTTTGAAACTAGTAAACTGATTAGGCTTTGAACTTTGGATACTGATTTCACCAGTTTATTGTCAGTTGTTTGTTATAGAATAAGACCAAAACATCTGTAAGAATCAAATATCAGCATTTTATGTCCAAATTTAATGACAAGACTCAGAAACCTGAAATTTTGTGAATGATCATGGTTATAAGTAGTTTCATGTTTTTTCAAGGCATCACGATCGGAATTCAACTTCAGCCGTTCTAGACATAAAAAAGTAAGTTTTCTCCTATTTCTCAGAAACTGCTGCCAAAAATGTGCTGTATCAACTTGTACCTCTCACAGACAAGAGAGGATAATTAGTTTTTTGTTCTTACATGTCTGAAGTCTATAGTAGATACCTAACTGATGAGCTCCCTACCTCATTTCTATTTCTGATTTATTTATTACAAGAAATGATGACTTATCATGGACTTATATTTTCACTTTTATCTTCATGCCTCATGAACGACATTTGTGTTTAAGAATGGAGGTCTGATATCAGATCTTTGAATATGTCTTTTTACCAGTTTAAGAATGCATGCTTTTACTCATTACTGTAAAGTTTCTTCATGTATCATTTGAGGATACAACTTTTGAGAGATCATGATGTCTTTGTTGTGTAAACATTAAGATTATTTCAGAATAAAGCATTAGATATCATCGATCAGGATACACAACTAAACAGCATTTGAAGTGCCTTTCTAGAACAGTTTTAAAGGTTTAAAGAAATGTCAAGGAAACAAAGGACATTGTACTTAAAAAGGCCACGCATTTTTTAGTTTTCGTTTCAGGGGCCCGTCGCCCCCATTGAAAATTAGCTGGAAAAGAAAAAAATTAATCATAAAAATATGTATGTTTATTATGACTGCTGCTAGTAATATAGACCCTCATATACAAGAAAAAATGTTATGTATGAATTCCATGTCTATATCACTATCAGAGATTCAAGAAGCCAGCTGCAGTTTTAACTCCATGGCAGAATGACTTTCATATACATAAATAAATGAATGTCATCGCTATTTATTCTAATTTGTATTTCGACTGACCTTGTGTGGAAAAGCCTGTATAAATTCATGAAACACATGTTGACCAATGGTTGAGTCATCCAAACTCCAATTATGGTGAGCTTCTGTACCTCTGGTATTCAGGTGCAGTAATGTCACTCTCTCTTTCTAAATTTTGATTGCAGTTTGAATTAAATGGTATGATATTCAAGTGATATATACCCTAAAACAAGAGTAACTGTGATCATAGGAATTTGTACAGAACTGCAAACAACATATGCTGATTATGGTTTTAGACAAATGTATGAAATCATTAGAAACCAATGAAGTTCATCTAAAGCCCAATTGTACACTGCCAGTACAAGTTACTATTTAGCTTCAATGAATAACAACAAGTTTTGTATGTCTTGTATGTCTTGTATGTCAAAATCAAGAAAGGATTACTAAGAATTTGATCACATTTCTTGCTTTATTGTCAAATGATTATGCAAGCTCAAGCCACAACACGCTTCTGTTATTTTTTTCTTTTAGACAGTAACTACAACAACATGGACAACAAATTAGAATAAACATGGCAGTTTATTGTTGATAATCAGTTGTTTTTAATATCTATGTATATTCATTACATAATTTGTTCTTCTTTATTTAATATCTTGGACAATATTTTTTCAGGACCGTCCAACAAGTTTTGACACAATGAGGTTTCCTGCTTTGGAAAGTCAGCTGCTTGATATCATGAAGACAGGAGGACCTGAACACTTCGCTGAACATATGAAGGGTATATATTATTCTAGTCATGTTATCATGGTTATCAGGTTCTGATGTTATGCTCTTTGTCCTCTCCCTTCAAACACTGGCTAGTGTTGTATATCCAGGCAATTCCTAATGGGATCAGCTAGTACTCACATTATTGACAGTGCCATGTTTTTGGTGATTTGACCTGGCAACAGATAGTGAGATCATGACTGGCATAGTCAACATGGCTGTATATTCAATGTGTATATTTCTAGCAGTAACAAGTTATCAGCCTTGTCATCATCAGATGCTCATCAAGCCTGCATATACATGACTTAGAATGAGCTGCAACATCCAGCTTTTTGCGACTCTACAAATTGGTGACTGGTTGACTTTTTTTCTTACCATGCATTTGAAATTTACGGCCTTCATACACAATATATTACAGGGATTTTGCATGCAGGAGGCAATGCATTGAGACTTCAATTTTTGATTGGACATTCTTCTATGTCTCTTTGTAATTTGAACAATATCTTTTGGACGTTTTGGATTATACTCAATGTCCTAGAAAATGATCCGATCTGAAACCCTGTATTATGACAGTTTGTTCTTTATGAGTGGGTGATTCAATTTGCTTTTAAATAGGAGTGTAACAATTGATTTGTTTTGATTGACTGTCGAATGATTAACTGATTTATGTTTACCAAAGCCCTGATCTAATATGTTGAGTCATTTCAACTGTCCCATTACGCAGCTATTTGATCACATTTCATTTTAACTGCAGGGAGCTAAAGACTATAAAAAATTTACATAGAGAGTCAGAAATTAATATAAATCTGCTAGTCAGAGACTTGTAAAATTCAGTAAGGACAGGTGACATTTCCTTGTGGACTGCTACTCCTACCATTTGGAAGAAATATCAACTTTTGCCAGATTATTTTTGCAGACAACCCTGGCATGTATGGTCACAATAGTGTCTAAAATATGCTCACAGAATTTGAAAAAGATCTTGTAGATGGTCACCAGATGTCCATGTTTGAAATCAGAACCTACCCATAAATGAATGTTTTGGGTGCATAGTTTGGTAAGCAATGTTTGTTGATGTCAACATATATATATATAACATTAACTTTGACCCTCTTTTGACCTAATATGATATCATTGAACTGAATGAAACATTCATTTTGTTATTTGTTGTTCATATTTGATCCCCTGGCATTTAATGCATGCTGGATTTCGTGAGCATAACTTGAAAATTGTGAAAGATGTTTCATCCAAACTTGGTTCATGTATTAACCAGGGGCTGAAGTGTAGCTTTTTGCTATTGTGGGAGACGGGGAGATTTGTCATCTTCTGATGGCTCGTTTCATTGGCCAAATGATATCAACCAATTCAGAAGAGTTGCATAACATTTGGACCATTTATCAACCTGCAAAGTAATGTCAGAGTTCAGTACCAGAGGCCAGGTTATGCAGGAATGTTGACTGGTTCAGCACCAGATTCCTGAAACAACTAAGACATATGCTGCAACACTAGACGCCACGTAGGGTACCTGCTGATGCAATTACCTTACCAGGTGGACTATTTATAGCGTCAGCTTTGTTCAGCATAAAATTAGCATTGATTTGACAGTTACTTGTCCAAAGTATTACCATGCACTCATGCCCAGCAGGGTATTATGTATCACATCAACATGAACAAGTGATAATGTCTGCCAGATTTACCTGAAACTGGAGATCTGGTTCTAATGCCAAATTTATGCTTGCAATTTTAGTGCAACACAACAAAGCCACAATTTCAAAGCCTAAGTTTTAGTTATAAAATTTTGTTGGTCTGGTCAGCCTAGCATTCATAGTCCATGTGTTCAATCATACATGCTTACTGAAAGTATTGTTCAGTATAAAGCTTGTAAGGGTTCATTTAAATGCTGTTGTAATTGGATAGAATTAACATCCGTAAGTCAAAGCTTGTTAATATATCTTACAAATATCTATTTGTGTTTATCAGTGTTAAAAATTAAGTGGGGCCTGGACACCTTCAGGTTTTCACAGAAAATATTTGAATCAAGGTACATCTTATGACGTTCATGTCATGACATTTATTAGAATGTGTGAACCTTATGTATTTTTTGTAAATACTTCATTGTTTAGTAAGTTCTTGTCCCAAGATACTGTATCTTTTATTATGTTGGTTCGGGAAACAGAAAAAGTACCAGTTTCTAAGCCTAAATGAAAATAGGATAATTAGCATGATTAGATTTGTGCATTTAAGACAAAAAGTCATCCAAATAATAAGACATTGGCAGTCAACTTTAACCTGTTTACGTATGTAAGGATGACTAAAGGGACTGCACCAGAGTTTCGAGATTTACTCAACTTGTGCAAAGTTGTTTTATTTGTCAAATTTACCCCATGTGATGATTTGTACTTTGCAGGGAAGTCTCCGTTTGACTTGGAAGAGAACCAGTTAAATTCTGGCAACTTAGATCAGACAGTTCCCAACATAGGCACTCCGCCCCGTGTTTCACCCAGCTCACAGTCTGGTGTTGGAGATAGAGTCGAGAGATTCTCCAGGAAGGTCTTTGTCGGGGGTCTCCCTCCAGACATTGATGAAGGTAACCAGTGCACATGATGAGGAAATGCTTTGCAACAGTTAACAACTGTTAATTATACTTGCTACACATACCAGTGGCCTGTGTAGGAATATTGCAGTTTGTAATTTAATACTTTTCACTTATGTAACAACATGCAATAAACTACGGTTTTAACAGACTTAAGGGGACCACTAATTTTTGTTCGTTATGACGGTAGTTCATTATTAGCATATATATAGCAAAGGGACAGGACAAAAAACAGTTTGTTATATTCGTCAGTTCATTATAAGCGTGTCCGTTATTAACGTAGATTACTGTACATTCATTGATAGCACTTTTTTTCCCCAATACCAGTATTCATAGTATTTTTTGAAAAGTATTAGTTTGGTCATGCTTAATGGACTAGGTTTAATGAGGAAAGTATTTATAAAAGCAAGCTCTTACCTATTTACTCAGTTAGGGATCTGCAAAGCTCATTGTCAACTTTCAGACTAAAAATGTGGGTACAAGACAGAAATGCTAAGATCTTGTTAGTCTCACGTCAAAATGATTAATTGAATTACTATTTAGCAGTAAAGGACTCATTGTTAACTTCATTAATCTAGGAGGGAGGGTGATCTAGATCAGATGTTTTTCATATCAGGCTACTTTTTGATTCCCCAAATCACCAATAATGGAGAATGATATTGCCAACAAAATGATTATTGTGTTGTTTGGTTAGAAAGGAAGACAGTTTTGAGTAGTGTAAAAACATGTGAACTAGCTACGCTGTGAAATGAATACTTGTATCTTGAGTATGGAAAGCTGCTGACAACATAGTGTCACTGTAACAACTGAGTTGAATCTGTAATGTAATACTTTGCTTCATCATTGTTCATGTTCTGTTACAGAGGAGATAACTGCAGCTTTCCGAAGGTTTGGCCCTCTTGTTGTTGACTGGCCACACAAAGCAGAGTCCAAGTCATACTTCCCTCCAAAAGGTATGTCCTCCAATATTGAGCGCTGGCATTACTTAGTTCAGGATGGTGGATATTTTATGGCACTTCAGTCAGTTAAGAAAAACGATCAATATTCTGGTCCCATCCATTAACTGAAATTGTATCATATCAATGGCCTTGGTTTTTTAACTAATGAAATAATATCTTCCAGGCTACTGTTTCCTGATTTTCCAAGATGAGATGTCGGTCCAAGCACTTATAGAGTCATGTTTGGTGGATGATGACAAGCTCTATTGGTGTGTGTCAAGCCCAACCATGAAGGATAAACCTGTAAGTTTAGTGCTTTCAACAAGGAAACCCATTTCTTCTTAATTTGTCAATATTAAGGAAACAATTGAGCAGTTGTGGAAATCAAAGATTACTGTCACTTAATCTTCTCCCGTATTTAGCTGTATAACTATTTGTTTTTGTTACTGCTGCTATGCTTACTATGTTTCGCGGCAGTCATCCTATTGCTTGAATATGTTAATGACACAATATTCATATATTGAATGTCACCCTTTTAATATTGTGATATTATTTGTTGTGTATCTTTTAAAAAAAACACCGGGCAGAAACATCAGAAAGTGTTATTCACGTTTGTGAAGATAGAGGGGCAAATAGTTGTCCTAGGTTGTCATAGAGAGAAAGGAAATTGTTACTATAAAGTTAATGACTGTGATAATTCCTGACACAGGTTCAGATCAGACCATGGAACTTAAGTGACTCTGACTTTGTCATGGATGGTTCTCAGCCTTTGGATCCAAGGAAGACCATATTTGTGGGTGGTGTTCCCAGACCATTGAGAGCAGGTTTGTTATTTTTTACCCTATGCTTCTTTATGATGACCTATATTTGCCTTGCTGAAACTGATAAATACTATATACTTATATCATATTATCATGACCCTGAAATAGAAAAAGCACTAATCTTGGTATATCAGCTAATCACAATCAATCTTATGATGCTACAAGCTGATGGAAATTATGCTCAGAACCATGCTCTGGCTAGCAGACACAAACACATTATAATTTGCTTCTTTTTATTTTTCAGTTGAACTAGCAATGATAATGGACCGCCTGTACGGAGGAGTATGCTATGCAGGAATCGACACAGACCCAGAGCTGAAGTACCCAAAGGGAGCTGGGAGGGTTGCATTTTCAAATCAACAAAGCTACATAGCTGCTATCAGTGCCCGATTCGTCCAGTTACAACATGGTGATATTGATAAGAGAGTAAGTACCTTGCATGTTGTGCCTGAACTTCACAGATACAAACTACAACCAGAAAGTCTTCCATCGGGACTGGGAGCAGTGGGGTTGCCTAGTGATTAAAGCGTTAGTCAGAGGACTTAAAAGCATTCACTCTTCATGCTAAAGACCCAGGTTTGATTCCCCATGTGGTCACAATGTGTGAAGCCCATTTATGATGTCCCAGCGATGATATTGCTGGTATATTGCTCAGAGACGTAAAACCATGCTTATTCACTTACCTTTTGAGATAACATAATGAGCATAATAAAGCATGTCGTTATCCTGAAGGAAGGATCATTCTGTGACATGTCTTGTTGATGTGATGCATTATGTCAAACACTGCATCAATCTCTTTTTTGTACATAGGTGTATGTCTATGTTTCTAGAAATAGAAATAGAAGTAAAAACTTGGGAGTAAGCTCATTATGTATGTAAATCTCATTTGAACTGAAAATAAATATTGATGTGTTGTATTTCAGGTTGAGGTGAAGCCATACGTATTGGATGACCAGATGTGTGATGAGTGCCAGGGAGCAAGATGTGGAGGCAAGTTTGCCCCGTTCTTCTGTGCAAATGTGACGTGCCTGCAGTATTACTGTGAATACTGCTGGGCACAGATCCACTCCCGACCCGGCCGAGAGTTCCACAAGCCACTAGTCAAGGAGGGAGCAGATCGACCACGTGCTGTGCCATTTCGTTGGTGCTAACCAGCAATGGAAGCAAGGCAGGATGAACATGTTGACCCTTTGACTATCAACTCTTACATAGGGCTTATGCTTTTTTATTGTTCATCCACTTTTTCTATAGTTGAAAATTTTCTTCAGGGTTGCCTCAATTATTGTGATATTGTCCTTGAAGTAAACGTCAACCTTTGAATTGACACTGCGATAATTGTGAATCATCTTACTATTTGATGACACTCATTTCATGGAAGTGGACGACGAGCTGGTGGCTGTTTACGAAACAACACAAAGTGTACTTGCCAAGGTTACAGCGATACCGAGAATGAGGTCAGATAAAGGTAATCATTTGGTACAACTGAAACTGTTCGTGCAGATTCAAATGAAAGATGAGTCGATCTCACGATACCAAAGATGTGTATGTGCATATTCAAAGTAGATGGTTGGCAACAGTGGTACGTAAATCTTTTCACCTTTTCTAGTCTTCAGTGTCTGTGGTATTTTATATGGATTATATACAGGAGGAAGAACAATTTGAAAAAAAAAGTTTATTTTGGCATATAAGGTAGGAATACTTCCTATATTATTATGACAAAATAAATGATGGTGTATGTTTCATGTATCTCTAGACATTTTGAGGTGATATCCATTTCTATTGTGAGCTGTATCTAGTCACCAAGGCAGAGTTTCCATGATGCACCTTAGCTAGTGCACATTGGAAAGGGTTATGCATATGTGTAAATCTGCAGGGAATATATATTTTGTAGAGAGATATGTATGGTAATTGTAACATGTTCATTTGAAATTCAGCATTTATCACTTTGTAAGATTACTATTTATATAGTCAATTTTATACATTGCGCAGAATTGAAATCTTTTATTGCATGCAAAAGACTATTTTTGTTACCAATTGCCATTTCTTTTTTATGAACGTTACTGTGATTCACTGAACACATTCACTGGGTATTTTTGGCAATTATTATGATCATAGATTGGCCTCCTCACTACACCAAAAGCAAATCTGTAGTTGGCAAGGAGAATGTGCGCAGTGTGCCATGACGTTTCACATGCATTCCCCGTCATTTAGTGCCATAGTGGCTTCCAGACCTGTACCCTTCTCCTAATGTGCAGGAAAGGAAGAAACTTATGTTTCTTTGGGTATGTGTCAAATGTTCTCAAACTAATCAAGTCAGTTGCCAATTCCTGCAGTCATTATCTCTGGTGATAGTTTTTTGAGATAGTCAGATCATGACTGCTTCAGTCAAACTCACTAACTTGTACATCATGTATCTAGTCTTGCACTGTGAAAGGTTGAAATTATAATGAAATGGCTATTTTTCACCTCTCTGCAAGAATGTTTGACACATTTCCCTGTGATAAATCTCTGATTCCTGTCAGTCGCACATAGATTTTCTCTGGTGCAATCGTGCAATTTGTTTAAGGTTGTGTCACTATATATATTTTGTTTCAGTCATATATTGCTCAATGAAGATGAACTTATATTTTGTTGTTGAACCTTAGAGATTTAGTTTCATCTTTGTTAATGTTTTCAAAGACACCTTATTTTTGTATAATCACACTCTTTGTCCAAGCATGGGGCACAGACTATGAGATTGATTTTAAACCTTTGATTCTTTTCCACAGTTACCTGTTGGATCTGTTTTACATGCATTTAAGAATTTAAAATTTCACAAAGTTATTCCCTTTTATTGGCACAAATTGACTTTAAATGTATCCTTTTTATAATTCATGGCACATTGGAATATGCACAATTCTATCCTTCCTATTTAGCTTCCATATGAAGCTTTTCTATGGAACTGATTCTATATTTATCAGTTCTCTTTATCAAATTAGTAGGAGGGCTATCTGTGTTTATGACCGATTTTCAAGTTAATTGATAATTGCCAAGTATTGCATTAATCCTTACTCGACATTTTGCAATTTGCAGAATTTGTTACATTGTTCTGACATTTGGACTTTTTCAACTTTGCATGATGTTTGTAATAAGATAATTCACATTATTTTTTATCTACTACAGTTTTTTAATAGATGTTGGGTATTTTGTATTTTTGTCTGTTTTTTATAATGTTAGCTACCTAAACAGTGAGAGAGAAAAGACATATGCTTCCAATTTTTTTTACATTAGGAAGAGTATTGTTGCACTTGCTACTGAGAGGGGTGCACCCTCACAACTTGTTTTTATTTATTATCCTAAGTTGTACTTTCTCCATGCTTGTGTTGTTGAATTAGTTAACTGTATTTAACATTGCCTTTTCTCAGATCTGTGATCAGTTATTGATGAAATGTGCTAGCTCATTCACAGTAAAGAAGAATTTGTACTTTATTATATTTTTCCACATTGAAAAATGTTGCGGGTCATTTGTAGTGGTATACCTGTGATCATAACTAAATGCAGTATATGCCAACACGCCTGAAACTTACAATAAAAGGCACACTGCATAGTAAACACTTTTTGATACAGATAATTGGAAAGGAGTCAGTTTTTGCTTGCATTTTGATATCATCAAATGAATCAATTCCAGAGAATGCAATTATAAGTGATTTTGTCACACTAATCAGCCGCCCCATTCTTTATGCCAAAGTTTTTTTACAGCGAAACTAGTGTGAAAGTGTGAAATATCACTTCCTGTAACTTCTTCCTATTCACATATTGCCTCAATTTCAAGCGAAAACAGACTCCTCCTGAAAATAGGTCCACCTTTTGTACATTTAATACTCAGTTTTGATATGTTTATGTTACATATTTTGATACAGTGAAAAAATGTAGAGTTTTGGTATTTTAGTATGTAATTGTCTCTTACTTAAGACTGTCTGACATCATTTCCAATGAAATGCAAAGCATTTGTATTGTTTGAAATTTTTATCTAAAATGACAGATGAAAATCAAAGTGTAAACATAAACAAATTATTTATCCCATTTTCATCTGTAGATATATATGTGTATTTATTCTGTTTATTTTTTATGGCCAGTTGTATTATGATTATGAATATTATTTTCTGTATGTGGACTGTTGCATATAAGGAAAATCCCTACAGAACTTTGGAGTGCAAATGCATACATAATGCTAGTCAAAGAAATAACTTCAAACATACTGTTGTGTATGTGAAGCCAGAGATACTCTGGAAAATAATCATTTATGGAGTTAAAGTTTGTCTGAATGGTTCAGACAAGTTTTAAAGCCATTGTTAAAGTTGCAAGTATTTTAAATTAACTTATTTATTTATATTGTAGAGAACTACAACCCCAGTGCTTGCCAGCATGGCCCTATACTGTCTCAGCCCCAAAGGGAGAGATGTGTGGGGGAACAGAGGAGAGGAGCACTTTCTCCCCCTCCCCCTCCTCCCCCACGACTCCTTCCATTCTGTTTCAGAGATGGACATTACAAATGTATACAATATTAGATAAAGGCAGGGGTCATAGATTCCACTTCTGTTGGTGTTGGGATAAGCAGAATCTTTCTACAAGTGCAATATTTCAGGAGACTTTCTATTTTGGTTATTATGTGTATGTATTTATTCAAATGCTTATTTTTATAGCACATTAACTGTTGCCGAGGATTACAGTGACTGTATCCAAGTGATTTTAACCCAGATGTACACATAGTTCATCTAAAGTTTATATTATTCCATGTTCAAATAACAGTTGCTGTTATTTTAGTATTCTAAATTTAATATATAGTATAATTTTCTATCTCCCACTTTGATGATCACTGGCATGTCTCAAGATATTGTTCCTGTTCACCTTTTCCAGCCAGACGTGTGTGTGACATGATCAGTTTGATCTGTTGTCGGTGTCATCTGTGATGTGTGCTATCATTTCATTCAGTAACACAGTATTAGTCTTGATGTTTCATCTGTTGCTGCCGGAGTATGTGATTAAGTTATTATTATTATTTAATGTTATAAGATATTCAAATTATTTTGTGTCTTAATTATTTTTGGAGCTATGGATTTTTAATATATAAACACTACCTATGAGAATAATCCTGTAGTATGTAGGTTGGCATTTATCTGGACTTCGATAAATTAAGCAGTTTGTATTCTTAGCTGTGTGTGGAATGCTGGGTAGCTGCATGAGGAATATTTCAATTTCTTGACCAATTTTCATACCAGTTGTGTTTTGTATATGGGGAGTTTTTCTTAGCTATTTTGTTGGATGCAGAGTTATGAATTATCATAAAGTTTCTATGTTTTAATAAAACAAGACTTGTTCTTTTTTTACATGACTATTACAGTTCCATTGCTGTCATTGGAAACTAAGTTACAGTGGTCACCAATGAAGGTTTTTGTAAGTTTTCTAAGTAGAGCACTTTCAATGGTCAACAGATTTATGGGTATTAGTAACCTGTGGTTGGTATGTTTCAATTTTTTTGCTGCTATGTTATTTATATTTTTCAACTAATTTTTAATATCTTTCTAACCTTAACAATTTGTGTATGACATTTCTTCAGGCAAATAAAGGTTTTCGATAGAAATAGCATGCTTGTTATACTAACACAACTAACATGTTACTAGTAGCTTGCTCCACTGGTGTTTGGGACATACTATTCATGTATGCCAAAAGCATGCTTTCAAGGACTAAGCAATTAATAATGTCTACTAAAGTTATCAAGGATGTGATTGAAGTGTTGAGGTGTTTTGCATGCATGTTTCGGCACAGAATGTTCGGCGTATTGCCGTTTAACCCAGAAGCTGCTTTCCCTAGTTGCTTCCATAGATGGGCATAAAAAGAATGCTTACCTGACTAACCACAATAGTTGGAGCCACTGTGTTGATGTCCAGATCCAATACTAACTTTCTGAACAAAGCACTTGTTTCTAGTGATTGACCATCATTTTTAAAGTTATGTAATTGAAAAACCCTGTTTTTTCAAGCCTGATCATCTTTTTCAAGTCCTAACACGAGGAACATTGCCCATTCTGAAATATAGGATAAAGTTATTCATTGAACAGTTATTGGATTGAACATTAGAAACAGATAGGCATGGTAAGTGTTGTGTTCAAAGGAATCAATCAACAATTGGAGGATACCTATAACTGTTTTGCAGTTGTTTGAAATCTACCATGCCAACAAAACTGCTAAGATGATTCACGTCTACACAATTACTCTAGATGGCTTTTTCAATTCTACACAATTACATTAAATGGCTTATGCGCTTCTATGCAATTACTTGAAATGGCCCCAATGTTTTTGGCCAGGCAGTACCTCACGGTTTGCTCCCGCAGACACAAACTGTGGTTTCACTATTGGTATAGTGTGTGAACAACCCCCAAGCAAATGTTGAGTAGTATTGTGTTAGTTTCAAAATGGACACGGCTAGCTTTTGTCATTGCCAACATTAATGACAGTAAAACAACTGTCATTCAATGACCAAACCAAAGCTAATCTGTGATCCTCTGTCCCTAAAGTTTAATTTTGTTTCAAAGAACAAGAACCTGACATACAAGATACATTAACTTATTGATGAGCAGTGTATAACCAGTTGTCTGTGCGAGGAATGGTATTGCCTCCTAATGATTAGACCTGCCTGGGGGTAACTTTGTGAAAGTTGGCCTAACGATGAATATACACTAAAGAGATGGTACGGAAATCATTAGGAAATCCATCTTGAAGCCACTTTCTACTCAAACAAGGACAGTACTGTCCACTAGAACTAAACAAAACTAGCCACACATGTCACTCTTGTGTGTATGATAATAGTATTGTATCACAAGTTGGTTGGTTTGTTAGTTGTTGCACTCGACAATATTCCAGCTCTATGACGGCGGTCTGTAAATAATTGAGTCTGGACCAGACATCATGAGCAGCGATCCACGCAGTTGGGATACGATGACATGCATCAACCAAGTCTGCGAGCCTGACCACCCGATCCTGTTAATCGCCTCTTACAGGCATAGTCGCCGTTGGGTTGCTGAAGACCATTTCTTACCGGGATCTTCACGGGTCGTATTACATGTACTGGTGGCAGAAGGGTTTGATAGTTTCACACCTCCATCAAATAAACAACATGCACAGGTATCTTGTCATCGCATTATCTTCTATCTGACCTTGGCTGTGAGTTATACTGGGAATACACGATCGTCCGTTCTCACGAAATCGAGCTGTATTTTTCTATATCCCAGAGTAGCAAGATGTATCTGGTTATATCCGGATTGCACGGACAATCGGTTTAAGTGCTCGTTCACACGACCGCATTGATGGACCAAAGCAGAATGACATGCTAATGTCAGCTATATATGGCAAGGTGAATCTCGGTCTATTATTATGAAATTGTATTAGCCATACCTCGTTAAAGTACATGTTTGTCGATTCTTACGCAACATGTCAGTAATTTTGTGACTATCACAACAATAAGGCAGTTACAATCGTTTAAGGAACGTATTAAAATTTGTATTAGAAATATCAAATGGAATTTGTGACAACCTTCAAACGAGTCCACACTGTATATAGGTTTGATGGGTCTTGTACCGCCAACACGCCAGGAATCCAGATCCGCCTCTGCAAAGTTAACAAATCCACCCATCAACAGATTCGTCCCGTGAAGATTCTGGGTTAGAATTGTGGACCTTAGGCCATTGATCATTCTGAAACCCCGTTGAGATCAGTGTAAGAATCGGTTTTCAGCAACCCATGCTTTTCCTAAGAAGCAGGGGCGGTCGGGTAGCCTAGTGGTTAAAGCGTTCGCAACTCGCTAGGGACGCAACTCTGCACAGCGAATCGCGGCGCCTTAGACGACTAGGCCACCCGTGCCCCCAGCATGACATGATGACAACAATATGTTATAGAAGAATTGTGTAATAACAGTACTCAATCAGGTGATAACTGGCCTCATTAATATTTTATGTAATCAGGCGGTCGGGTAGCCTAGTGGTTAAAACGTTCGCTCGTCACGCCGAAGACCCGGGTTCGATTCCCGACATGGGTACAATGTTTGAAGCCCATTTCTGGTGTCCCCCGCCGTGATATTGCTGGAATATTGCTAAAAGCGGCGTAAAACCATACTCAGTCAGTCAGTCAGTCAGTCCTAAGAGGCGACTAACGGGATCGGGTGATCAGACTCGCTGACTTGGTTGATGCATGTCATCGTATCCAAGTTGCGTAGATCGATGCTCGTGATGATTTAATCACTGGATTGTGTTATTCGATTATTAACAGACCGCCGTCATATAGCTGGAATATTGCTGAGTGCGGCTTTAAAAAGCAAACAAACAAACATTAACAGATTCACAGTTGTTTTCACCGCACCTTGACAACACCAACGTGAGCTTACGTCGTCCTCCGTCCGTCCGACCGTCCGTCCATTAGCACTGAAACTTAGCACTGAATCTACTGAACATAGCAGTATCATTTTTTAAATAACATGATCCGCATGTCACTAGCTACAACAACGAAAACTTTTCATTATAAAACATTCAACATGGCCACAGCAACAGCTCATTTTGTTAAGTGCTTGTTCAGACGACCACCATGATAGACCAGTGCAGAATGACATGGTACATGGTCAGATATATATGGCAAGATGAATCTTTCGTTGTCTATTTTATCATGACATTGTATTGGCCATAGCTCGTTAATGTAAATGTTGCTATTCAGAATCATTGCTGTTTTTTACGCTACGTTTCAATAATTTTACGACTTTCCCAACCATAAAGAAGTTACGATTCGTTTCCGGTACGTAATTGTATGAGAAGTATCGAATGGAAGTGCACGCATATCAATCAAATATGTTTTGATATTTCAACTTCAATGTTTGCGTTTTTATGGTAAAATAACTATATCCTGTCCATGAGCAGCACCCCGAAGCAGATTTCCACATAAAACGTTGAACTCACATCAATCAGGCTATAAAGTGCTACACATTCACATTTAGAAACGCTTAAAATACAGACTTTTACAGTTGGATACTTGTCATTGCCAATACGGGATACTTTTCATTGCCTAAACATTATCCATGAACCTTTTGCAATTTAGAATTTAGAATCGACGGACGTACTATTGGAATATTTGTTTGCTATGTTGTAGAGAGTGAAAGTGAATGTGTTGTTTCAATGCCGCTATTAAGGTCCCATCGGCGTGTCATCCTGGTTTCTGAGAAAAGCCAGAGTCGCGGAGGTGTGAGACGTTTGTCACTTTGCCTATAACCACGAGCATGGGTTTGGGAGTTTCAAGACCAAGGACCAAGGTTGTTCAATTAATTTGAATTTTTTTAATGAGTTGCGAAGGTGTGCGGGAGTGTATGGGTGATTGTTATTTCACGCCAATATTCCAGATTTGTGATGGCGCCCTACAGACTTCAGTTTTTAGGGAAGCCTCGGTGGCAGAGTGGTTAGATCGCTGACTGTGCGTGTTGGGTTCTGTAGAACCGAACCACTCATCACCTCCCATCACGTTGCTTTCTTCTGAGGAGTCGTGAGGTGTTTCCTCTGCTCGTCTCTGGCTGATCGAGGTGAACCCAAGACCCATCCACTGTTATATCTGGCTCAACACAAGAGATGGTGAGCCGGGAGCATTTCTGATCAGGAGTCAGCAGACTTGGAATCCAGCGTGGTGAATCAGTGTCATACCCACTTCATCCCTCAGAATGTCCTCTACGGTCTTATGAGAGACTCTATTGGCTATGTGACGGCAGAAAGTCCCCATGATCTTAGATAATCTTCGATGCTCTCTCTGGTCCTTTCTGACCGCCGGCAATTGGCAAAGGAAGGAGCATCATTCACTGAATTGATGGCTGTTGGAGTTCTAGTTTGAAATACTTGATGAAAACCGGGTCGGGGTCGACACTTTTGTTTATTTTCATCAACAGAGAATATCTAGTCACCTATATGCCGACCCGTGAAGATCCGGGGTAGACTACGTCTTCAGCAACCCGAGCTTTTCCTAAGAGGCGACTAACGGGTCGGGTGGTCAGACTCGCTGACTTGGTTGATGCATGTCATCAATCCCAAGTGCGTGGATCGATGCTCATGATGTCAATCACTGGATTGTGTGGTCAAGACTCAGTTATTTACAGACCGCCGTCACATAGATGGAATAGTACGGCGTTAAACAATAACCCAACCAACCAGCCAAAAAGCCTGCAGAAACACACTGCCTGGCTGTGTATTTGGTTCAAATGCAGCCTGTAAGAATAGATAGTATTGTACTTAAACATCCTTCCTACTTTCAGCCACCCCTCTTATGTTATCAATATATATTTAGCAG